AGTCTGTCTGTCTGCAGCCTCTCCAAACACACTTCGAGATGCACAACTATTAATATTCATATGCACATCTCACTTTGAGAGGGAGGCTTGACCCTTTTAATCTGGACACCTGGGCTCATTCTGCCATGTTTATAAACCACCTCACAGGATTTTTTTTTTTTTTTTTTTTTTTTCCAATTATAAGTAGTCAGGGACCTGGTTTTATGTCTCATCAGAAGAGGTCACCTCCAGGTGACCTTTTGGCACTTCTCTTGGTATTAGCTATGTTTTTGGAATGAAATATCTGGATTGCACACGTGTCAAAGGAAAGATCCCAGGTGTGTGGGAGTGCTGAAACAGACTCATAAAAGAAGCAAAGCCACTGATATTCATACAGATCTCTGAGTACATGATGGCCAACAAGCTAACTCTCCTGCCTTCCCATGGGATAGGGAATGTGGTAAATGCAATCTCTGCAAAGCACTCACAGCTGACCCACTGACAGACGGTGCGTTCTCAAATGTCAGGGTAATAAAAAATAGTTTTATATCACCTGAAAACCCAAATAACTGTTAGAGTTAAATGCCTCCTTCAATGATGGCAAATCCCTTAATTTTTGCTATGCAAAGCTCTCTTCTGGTCTCCAACTTGCAACCTGCACAGCAGCACTGCGTGCACGTCTACAAGTCACCGTGCACGGCCCTGAGAGCAGTCCCACTCTGGGTTTGCTACAGCAGCTGCAGGTAGGAATACCACGGGAGATGGATTTAACCATCATCACAGATCTTATTGCTCATACAGGTTTGGTTAAAGCCAATAAAGCTAATAACACTGTGCCTGCATCTGGAAAAAAATCCCATCTCCCTCTTGCTGCACAGGCATAGTCGTCCTTATTCATGCAGTGAAATCTTGTGTCACGAACTGGGTTCCAGTGTACTGCTCTACTTGGTGTAATAACAAATGATTTTAGCATAAAGGTATACATAAAGAAATCTTTGATTTATCAAGTTATCAGAACTTTTCTTAGAGAAACAAACTGTGATGTGGCCTCCCCATTTAGCCACAGACAACCCTGTTGCTATTAAATACAGGGCCTGAATTTCGGTTACTGTTAGGGATCTCAGTTAACTATTTGAAGGTAAACTGTGGGAAAGCACCACTAGAGGTCACTCAAAATTAATTGTTACCTAATTAGCAGATTTTGACCCTACATTTTAGGACGTTCTACATTCATATTTAAGGCACTGTCTGCTTTGACTCTTCAGCTAATTCTGACAAAACTCAAAAGAGCTGGAGACAGAAAATATTCCTTCAGCCCTTCTCACACATGACTCTTCCCAAGGCTTCCAAATCAGCTTTGCAGTTGCTTCTGCAGGCAGCAAATCATTCTTTCCTTGGCAATGAGCTTAGTAATGCTGGCAGTGATGAACCTCTAGAAGTGTTGGTTTTAGAGGCATTCAGCCCTAGCTGCATTATCTCCAGTAGCTGGTCACCCAGTCTGAAAATTAGACCAAAGTGAATTGTACAAGCGAGGGGACATATAGGGAAAAAAAATCTTTAACGTTTCCACGCCCCTGTAAATTTTTAACCACTGCTATACAGAAGAAAAAGTAGATCTTTATAGCAATTGTTTGACTAAAAGATGTAAAAAGCAGTTTAAGTTTGATTAATCAGTATGTGTTGAAATATCTCTGCATGTTGTTTAATCAAAAGCAGATGTTCTATTTGCAGGGTTTTGGGGTTTTTTTAATAATCTGTGAAAATGTTGATAGCAAATTATTTGCCAAAGACAACAGGAAAAGGGATATCTAATTAGGATGTTCTATAAGTTTAAGACCACCAACTGCTGATACACGTGCATACATCACCTGATATATGTAAGCAAACACACTCAAGTCCTCCCCTTGCTCAGTAGATAATTCATGTTCAAGCAAAAAGGAGACTTTCATTTCAAATGCAGCTCTGTAGGAAAACTCTTGGGCAGCCAAGCTCCCATAAAGGCTGCTCTATCAAAAATTACCTACTCTTATTTAATTTCTCTTTTCGTGTTGCTGCTGATCCTCTCCTCATCCCCACCCCTTCCACTCAGTTTAATTGACAGAGTGGATTAGGTAGTCAGTTTATCCATATGTATGAACATGACAACCGTAAAGAATATTGCAGTTTCCCAAAAAATCATTTAATAAGCTCAATGGAAAAGTATGTGTGCAGCTGGGAAAAAAAAAGAACATTAAGGCACTACAAGATGAGCAAGACATTTATCAGAGGCTCTGGTATCCTAGTTGCTTCATCAAGGTAGTAGAAAAATAAATAGATCATCAGCATCTGAAAAGTTGCATGACTACTTTCTCCACTTTCTAGAGAGATTAATTTTACGGAGGTAGAAAGACAGAGTTAGCCACAAAACAGCATACTCACAGACGCAACTAATGGAATTTGGATGTAATTATCATTTTTTATTATAAAACAGTGAACCATCCTCTAAACTTCTACCCAAGAAGCTTGTAGGCCCTATTGCAACAGGACAAGAGGTAATGGTTTTAAACTAAAAGAGGGTAGATTCAGGTTGGATGTAAGGAAGATGAGGGTGGTGAAACCCTGGAACAGGTTGCCTGGAGTGGTGGTAGATGCCCCATCCCTGGAAACATTCATGGCCAGGTTGGATGGGGCTGTGAGCATCCTGATCTAGATGAAGATGATCCTGCTCATTGCAGAAGGGGTGAACTAGATGACCTCTGAAGGTCCCTTCCTACACAAACTATTGTATGATTCTATGAAGCCAGCAAAGTAAAGGAAAATAATTTTCTCCATTGGAATCTGTAGCTACTGATTAATAACTCCTGGTTAGTAACAGGTACTGTTTCAAGGCCTTCCATGATCTGAGACAGCCTTCATCTGCACGTACTTCCTATGTCCTAAAGACATCAGCTTTCTAGCATTGATTAAAGTTCTCTCTTGCATCATGCAACCACATCTGCCTATTTACTAGGGCAAGCTTTGACCCTCTGGTGACGACATTGTTCCTTCTGAGGAAGCACTTAGCTGGACATGGTCCCTTTAGTTAGTTCCTACTGCATCTACAGAGATTCAAACTGTATTTGAATTAGAAAAGTAGTCTTCACGCTAGGCATATAATTCATGTGCTCTCTGTTCTAAAAAGGGATGGATAAAGAAGATTAAGGGCTGTTTAACAAAAAACCTACTTAAAAGCCAAGCTTACCAGAGTCTCTTTGAGAAACCTCTGCTACTGGAGCTCTTACTCTAGAATGAGTAAAAGAGCTATTTAACGTATTCACCTTCTCCTGAACTTGCACAGAAATGCTTGCTGAACTTGTCATCATGCAACAAAACGTAATTTTTAAAAGTCAGGGAGGTATAAGACAGTAAGCAGCCAACGCATTAAGCCTGAAGTGGAGAAACGGAGGAACAGGTTTGCCTTTTTTTTTTTTTTTCAAAACAGTGGCTCTAATTAGGGAAGAAGCCCACACCAAAGGAGAGTTAATACAAAATGCCAATGGTTGCAGAGTGTAACTAGAGAAAATAAAAACCAGGTGGGCTCAGACAGAGAAACTGCCATTCATTTCCAAGGAAAATTACAGCTTTTGATATGCAAATAGCTATAAACCTCCAAAAGTCTTGAATACCAGCTATCTAAAGCTATCAGTTGCCCCAGCTGGGTCACCACAGAGCAATTTTTGCCAATTATATATCCCTTGTTCCCTGATCAGTCTATTTTTCTATTCATTGTTATACTAGAAACTATTGTGAAATATTCTCAGTTGGGGCAAATAACCTCCTATTCCTTTTCTTTTCAGCTCCCCTAAAAAATCATCCAGCAGTAAAAAAAAGTTCCTTGCAAGATTTCTGCCCAGCTGACACAACAATGTGCAAAGACCATTTCTTCCCCCCCTACAAACCTGTCTTTTATTGTCTGTGCCTAATCAACAAAAAGCTGATTTCCAATTTACAACATCTTCGAAATCCAAATCACATGAGCCTCCTCCTCTCAATCCCCTGTTCAGATTATAACCCCAAAATTAAAAAAATTGGGAAACCTCAAACTTTTCTTGTTGTAAAGCATACACAGATTTTTGATTTTTTATTTTTTTTACTAAATAGATACATTGGGAAAGCATTGAATGTTGAAGAATAAATGTAGGCTTTCCACTCAAAGTCTTCATAGAGGTATAAAATCATATATAGTGGGGTTCAGGTGATTTTTCCAGTGAGCCAGTAAAAGTTCAGGCTTTGCTTTAAAATTAGCACTGAAAACTAAGGGAAATAAACCAGTTCTGATGTATTATGAAATTATAAAACAGACGTTACAGTGGGCATTATAATCAACTATATGATGAACACCTGAACTCATACGGCATAAATTTTTTACTTTACACTAAACCATAAACTGCTTTTGTAATTCTCTAAAAGCATATAAAAATATTGACAATTCATTTAAAACATCGGTTGCTAATGATAGCGAATATCTGTGGTATTAAAAATATCCTACCTTATTAAATTAAAACTGGTTTTGCAATCTCTGTTACAGTCATTTCTGTTGCTTATGCTCTGCTTTCTTTGGGGAGGATTGTGAGCAGCACTGCTCTGAGCTTTATGTTTCCTGCTCTCCCCGGTGAAGAGGTTCAAATGTGCAAAGGCATTCTTTCTTTTAAAGAACTGGTTTTGATGGAAGTGTTTCAGATGAACCAATTAAAAACCAGAGCATGTTTCCTAACCAAGCTGAAATATGATATAAGAAGACCCAGATAGAAGTAGCACAGCTGTAGGGAATCAGTGAAACAAACAACACAAAAATGCAAAATCTTAAGAAAGGGAAAGATTTGGCCAAATCTCTCAGTTGGGTTGACCTGCTCAGGCTTACGCTTGCTGGCTCCTAAGAACAGACATGTGTGAGCCCAAGTGGTCTGGTCAGGATCAGCTGTGTGTGACAGAGGACAAGGAACATTGCTGACATCCTCACTTCATCTTCTGGATTCTTCTAGAGTGAAGGCAGTAAACTAATTCTGGGTGTGCTTTTAGAAACTGATGTTGGCCAGGATATTTTGCCTCATTATTTTATGTTTCCAGTTCTGTTCTAATTGTCCTGTCACCTTATCTTCACACCATTTTGTCTCCATCTTCTGCAGCAATTAAAAATGTCATTCCTTTAACCCCCGTTTTGCTGTTTCTTCTGGTGTTTTCCACACATTTCCATTCTCCTGCATTTATAATTGTCACCAGCCTCTGTGCAATGACCTGCGTCTGGGTACGAAACATGATAAAATCATTAAATTGCAGCTTGCTTTACTCTGTACTTTTTTTTTTAACTACTTTTACCATGATGGGGTATGTGGTTGCATACACAAATTCCAGGAGATGCAGTCACCGCTGCAGCAGCGAGATCCTGGAAGCGCCTGCTTTCTGTGCACAGATTTCTTTTGCTATTACACATGGTAAATCCTGGAATCGCTGCAGCTTGGAAATTGTCCCAGACAGGGCACACAAGGGAGATTGGGTGTCACAGACTGGAATCAACCCCACCTACATTTAGTGACAAAATCTTGGATGCGAGTTCTAGCCTCAAGATGGGAAGACAAGAGGTGCTCAGCTAGTATTATCTGGTAATGTGAAGCTAACTACAGATAGAAAAGGCTTCCTGTGTCCAGAAAAGAAGCCATTAGATTGGATTATACTGGACTGAGACATGAAGGATTAGTGAAGAGGCAGCCTGACAGTGCTGTTTTGCTGGTTACAAGCATCCAAAGACCTTCCCCAAGAACTGTGTGTTTGCAAATAGGAGTAATTTGGAGCTCAGCTGTTAAGACTGGCTTTGGACATTTCTGGGTGCCCAGAACTGGAGTTCCGAAGCCTGTGAACGTGTTAGCAGGTATTCAGCACATGCTGTGTAAGGGTAACCAGTGGCATTGCTTCTTTCAGAGAAGTAACCTCTAAAAATTATATCACTGGTCAAACATTCTCACCTATCTGCATGCCCATGAGCAGGTATTTCTTTCTTTCAGCGTTCATGGTGAAATTCTGGAGAGGTACTAAGAGGACAGTCAGCACTGCTTTTAGCTTGCACGCCCAATGGAAACTCGTACTTTGGCATTGTCAACTCCAGGTAGGTTGGCCATCGAGCCAAGTGCAAGCAGGACCAGAGCAAAACCTCCCCAGGCTTGGGCAAGAGAGCTGGGTGTGGGGGTGCCACGGCACACCTGATGCTGTTGCTCAGACCACTTGCAGTGAGGCGAAGGCCTAGGCCCAGAGGCAATGCTAAAGTCTACGGTGAAACTGCGGAGACTATGCAGACACAACTGGTAATTTGTTATCTTTGAATTAAAGTGTTGGTAGGAATTAAGAGGGTAATATGTATCACCTGCAGGTGTGCCGTAAAGATGCTCTCTTTCTTTTTCATATGCTTGTAAGATATTTTCCTTAATCTTCAGTGCAGTTCTCTCCCCAAACCTGGAAGTCTGATTTGAAATGACAATTTGCTCCTCTTCTAGCTAATTGGAACTAGAGCACAGATATTTCACAAGAGGATAATGATGAGCTGGCTTCCCTGCATCTGCTCTGTTTGTCTCCATTTTTACGTTTATACTGTCTCGTCTGCTCTGCAAAACTGCCAGTCATCTCCTGGGGACACTTTCTCTGCTTGACAGCTTGTAGGACTGTCTGACTTCCCCTCCTCTCCAATGTATGCTGTTAGGTCCTGGGGCTGAGACACACCATCTGGAAGCTGGACCTGTGGACAAGGCAGCTGCTCAGAAAGTGCCTTGTGGTTACAGGTCTCCTCATTACCCCCGTTGCAACTGGTTTTGATCTTGGAGGAGTTTGCTGCTAATGAAGGAGCATCGCCCTCCTTCCTCTGAGCTATATCCTCTTCTTGCTTGGCTCTAGAGGAGTGGTGGCTGAATTGCTGCTGGGTCACCTCAATCAACTCCATTTATTTAAAGGTTTTATGTAGCTGAGTATGAAAGCCTCAGTGGTGGAGGTACCACGAGGCTTCCCTTGCCTATAGACAATAATTTCATCATATTAGTCTTAATGTCAGACTTCAGCAATGGCCTTATGCACTCCTACAACTCCCAGAATGCAGCAGCCTTACAAGAAAAAAACACTGGACAGAATAATTTCTTTTTTTCATTCCATAATCGTGAAAACGGGTCACAACTGACAGGTCTGAGGCAGAGAGATTTGGAGCACTTGGTTTTCTTTTTTTTATAGTATTTTATATTGAAATAGTGGATGCTACTCTCATTGCAGGAAGGGTTTTGAGAACATCTAAAAGGTTAGGACTTTAGCTGGGCCTGAGGACACTTATAAGCTCTGGTTTTCTGTGCTGCTCTATCCTATCAGATTTCTTTTTCTTTCTTGTTGAAATACTAACATATAATTGCCTAATTCGTAGACATTTGCAAGGCAAGAAATGGAACAAAGCAGCTTCTGCTCACATACTTTGGAAACACTGACATTACATAAAAATACATATAAATCAAATAAGCATCTCAAACACCTAAAGTGACATGTAGCCACATTCAATTCTTGCACTGCAAGCTGCTAAGCCTACGAAACAGAGTAAAAATGCAAAGCACGAAGAGAAAATGTGCCAGCCTCTTTAGAAAGCTGTGCATATCATTGGCAAAGGCTGGTTTACATTAGTGCCTCTCAGTCCTTTGACTGATTTGTTTCTTAGGTGTAACAGCTGCCTACAGGTTGTACCTACACAAGCGAATCGAATGTGACACAAAGCCAGAACATTGCGGTACATTGCTTCTTGTACTAATAAATATTTAAGGATAAAGCCTAAGTACTTCTTCTTCAGCATCAGATCCTTCTCTGTTGCAACTGGCAAAAAAGAACTTGCAAATTGCTATGCGTAACAGAAAATATATAAAAAGGATGTTGATAAGCTTGTGATAATGGGTCATATTTTTTTAATTGATTTTTGTTTCTCAGTAAAATTCCACAAACATTTTATTTTATTTATAATTTCTAATAGCCAACTTTGTCCTTCTACTTATAGGTCAACCATGAGAGAATGGAGAAAAAATAACTGACCATGCACCACACTTCAAGGTTCTTTTCTTCACGCAAGGAAGGGGAAGAAAAGCATGTCAGCCATTCAGGGTTGGAACATCCCTCTCTCCTCTTCCCTCACTGAGTCTCAAGTGAGAGACTTACCCATCTCAGACCCCAGTGATGCTCATCAGAAAAATGTCCTGGCTCCAAATGGCAATGCCAAACCATTTCACAAGCTCACCTTGCCAAGGCAGTTCTGTGACTCTGGGATAAGCAATCACGACTTTACCAGCAACCCTGAAAATAATATTTGTATAGTTCACATGACAAACAGGCATGGGCAGAATGCATTTACAAAACCAGACAATGTTAATTGCTTCTGGGAGTGTCTAGAGATTACTCTACCTGAAAATATTTGAGGTTTTTGATGAAAACTCATCTATTGTGGCACACAGACAGCAAAGCAAACATTTCACTCATTTCCTCTCTGGCTTTTGAAATTAAGCAAAAAAAAAAAAAAAAAAAAAAGAGGCACATCCATGTTCAGGAGCCCATTTCGAAACTCCCTATCCAACTGTGTTGTCTTTCATGGCTGGACAGTCTTTTGATTGAGTAGGTCATAAATTTGGGGTTTACCTCTAGAAACTCAAGTGCTTATAACTCTTGGGGCATTTCTTGTTTGAAAATTAGGAATTCAGGAGAAAAAACAAAAAAAGGAGGGAGGGAAAGTAGCTCAATAGTTTCTTCTAGGAACACCCTCTATCCTCAATTCTACAATGAGATTTGGCTTCTGTGGACATTTTTCTCTGAGTTAAGGTAAAGTCTGTGGTGTAAAAGTCATTGTTTCACTTGCTGTGAATATTCTTTCTATCAGGAAAGACCCTCAATCAAAGAATAAAATCCTAAAGCCAGTTTTTGTGTGGCAAAATTTTTGTTGATAAAAAAGAGAAGAATAAAGTGAAGCAATGACTTTCCACCAGCTTTGCCCACCTTTATTTAATGTGACAGGAAATTTCCTCTGGTTCAGTGGGAGTAGGAGTATGTTTGGCCTCACTATGGGTTTTACTTTTATTATTCTGGAATACCCATTTATTTTTCTCAACTACTGAAAGAAAATTAACACATGTAAATATACTTTCTTATTTCTGAATGCTGGTGTGGAGTTAGCTTGGGGAAAGCTTGAAAACTGATGCTATCAAGATTCTGTGGAAAAAAGCAACCATTTAAAATTCATAGTTTCAGGTTTTTTATGATACATGAATCCATTCTGTTTCATTATAAACTAGAAGGGATTTTTCATTGGGATCCCAGAAGTAAACTCGAAATGAGAAGATGGAACAGAGATTCAGAATGACTGACTGGGGGCTGTGATCTTTACATAGGTTAATTAATGCTGCAGACTGAAAGAAGACAAGGAAACATGGCTAGGAAACATATTCCACAGAAAATACATTCTGCAGAAATGTACATTCACTTTAGCAGAATCCACATCTGACTTTCTAAATATCTTTGTCTGAGTTCCCATTAGGCTTACTTAGCTAATATAAGTTCACCCTAAGAATTACCCTTACATCTTAGGTGGGAGGTATCGAAAATCTTGTAAATACTGTGTTCCTTCCACACTGTCTTGCACACAGGGATGCCTTGGGCTCTCATTTGTGGGACAAATCAGAAAAGAAATAACACAGAGTTTCAGCCTTGAACAATGCAAAAGTCTCTGCTTTCTTCTGCCATGCACACAGACTATGTCCCAGGACTCCAAAAGTGGAATTCCGTAAGTAAATACAAGATTGGATTGAATTTGGTGAGTTCATGAAGTGGATTCTCGATACTGAAGGACTATAATTTTGAAAGGTGATTTATGAGCTTTGAATATTGTTGTCATCCTCAGTGTTACGAAACACATGCATCTAGCCGTGCTGCCTCACATCCCTTCCAGCTGTTTCAAAAGAGCAGCTATTGCCAATCTTCAGGCAAGGTTGTTTTGCACCACAGCAGATATTAGAAGGAAGCCTATGTAATCATTTATAGCACGTGTGGATCTTAGCACTGTAGCTGAATTTTTTAGAATAGGCTGTCATAAATTCTGGGATCACAGATTTTCATCATTATTCATGTTCTCAATCTCAACAAGTTGAAATAAGTGCTAAAGGACTCCCAGTATGTGAGCAGTGAGCACTGTATCTGACATATTTTGAATGTAGTTTAAGACACAAAAAAAGGCAAAATAATTGTTATGCTAAACAACATGTAGTCACAGTCAATAGTCCATGAAGAAGTAATTTATGTAGACATATCAACATTGCAAATTTTCAATGTCCTCTTTAAAAAGACACTGTTCTTTTTTTTTTTTTTTTTCAGATGTGAATGACAGAGGTCTCCGATTCCCAAGCAAATGCAAAAGGACCTTGAAATAAAATGATGCCATAATGGCTTTCAGCGATACACTCCTCCCAAGTTTTCAGCACAATTATATGCTTATTACTTTGGAAGAGTTAGAAAACAAGCAAGCTGCAGCTTTTAATGAAGCTTTCATAGCAGTGAGAAGAACTATGAAAAAGCATTTAGAGCAGCTCATCTCCTCCTCTATTCAGTCTCTCTTTCATTTCCAGAGGCAGTTGCAATGAGAAATTGGATGCTATCCAGTTTGGATTTATAAGGAAGCAGAAAAGGAGATAATGGCGGAAGTATGTGCTTTTTTCCCCCATGTAAATTCAGATCATCTTTAACATTTGATCAGATTTTGAGGAACACGAGACAAAAAAGCAGCAGATATTTCCAATCATACATTTTAAAAACTCAAAAGAGCTTTGCAGACTCTCCCTGTATCCAGAGCTGCTTCAAGACATTCCTTTTATTATTTTTGGGGGAAGATGTAAAACATAACCATTTACTTAGCTCTGCTATCTGATTATAAAATCCTGACTCAGAGCATCGAAAAAGTTATGCTTACAATGCACAGACATACATCCCAGTTCTTTGTACTGTCATGCTGCCACCCTAACAAGCTAGAAATATGTATGTGAGTGGAGAAGACATTTCAGGATCAGAGGAAAAGTCAGTTAACAATATATTACTGAGACTGATTTCCTTGTCAGTACATAAAAACTAAATGTGACCCCAATGGAGACATTTTTTATTATGGGGAAGCAATTTTCTTACTCTTTTATGACTCTACTTTTATTACCAGCATTATTCACAATTCTCTAATTAGAGAGCACAACACTGTTACGCTAGTTTTTACTCTTCGATTCGGATGCACACAGTCATTACCGATGCCATGAGAAGGTGTATTAGTGCAATAAGGTTGAATAATACTCCTCCTTTTCTTTTTTTTTCTATACAGAGGCCAGTGGGCCATGATGTTTTAATATGAGTCTGCTCTAATCCTGTGACCTTACATATGCACTTGGAAAGAAATGGTGAGACTGAACAATCCGTTCATTTGTTTTTTCTGCGTAAAAGACCTTATCTGAAACTTTGCGACCAAAGCTTATTTCAGGTTTTATCCCTAAAAGTGTACACACCCATTAAGTGAAAAAAAGCGACAAATATCAATGCATGCAAAAATGTTCAAGCTCAAGTACCTGAATTCAGGAACTTACCTCACCCTTTTGTGATCTCCAGTAGGTAACCTGGCTTTGTATGCTAACACGGAACTACCACAGGAGACTGAAGAATGAAGTCATTGCTTTGTAGGTGCCTAAAATTTGACCCAGGGAATTTAACTTTGGAAAAGATATTGCTTGATGCTTTGTCTGTTTTCAAAAGAAGTGTTATTCACAGCAGAGTATAAAACCTGAACTTGATGAGAACAAAATATGGAACATTTCTGGGTTCCCAAAAAGTTTCTGGACAGCTATGAAGAAGTCTCATCGTGCAGCAAGCTATTAATAGCAAGAGAGGGTACAAACTGCCCCAAATCTTCCTTTTCCAGACCTTGAAAAGTCATAAGTCTTTGGCATTTTGAGTGACGTTGTGAATCAATTCCCTACTCAGGATTTGACTTTAAAGACCCAGTACAGCCCTAAATGTCAACTGTGTGGAAATGGTTCCTCTATTTGTTTGGTTTAGTTTTGGGTTTGGTTTTTTTTTTCATCTGAAGTCTGTATATATTTCACTGCTCAGAAGTCAATGAAGGGGTTTTACAGCAGGTCTAGTAAAGTGCAGTTCTCCAATTACAACCTAGCTGTAAAATATACAGTAGGTTTTTTTCCTTTTTACTTCCAGGCAATAAGTTTTGGTCACGTCAGTTAAACCCACCTAAAAGAAGGAGAAAGAAAGAGAAAAATGACTGTTCAGTGAACCTCAGGAGAATTATGAAGTTATACAGCCTCAGAAGGATTTTAGGCAGTTTTATATTGCCCAGCTCAGTTCACATTTATATCATCTGTCTCAGTGCCTGAAATGAACTAAGCTATGTGCTTGATAGAGAAAAATACCTCTACTGACTGATGTATCTAAAAATTCTGGCTTCGATATGGCTGGATGAAACACAGAAGAGGGTTGCTAGCTGCACAAACTTAGCTATAATATTTTTCATGTAAGAAAGAACTAGATAATGCTCAAAAAAAAAAATTGTACATGGAAGAAAACAAAGAATCAGTAAAGAGTGAGGATTTTTTTTTTTCTTAAACACTTCCATGTTAACTTAGTTATGTCCAAATTACTGCTTGAACTTGGAGAACTGGGAGAAGGAAAGACTGCAGCAGTCTGGAAGGTTGTGCTGCAAATGAAACTGCTGTTCTAGATAAAAACATAAACTATCCTAATTCAGTGTAATTATCCAATTGTGCCTGGATTTTGACTATGCGAGACACTGGGAAAGTCTTCTGAGAGCCTGGAGATATTCTGAAGCATAACATGCTGCCAGTGAAGATTTATCTACAGTTTCACCTGATAAGATTTTTCATCTTGTTTTGAACAGCATAATTTACCATAGTCAGCATGCTGTATTGCATTCATATATGTAGAGAAGAGCTGGATTGATTATCCTCAGGCTTCCTGCCACTAAACTCAGCAAATTAGTTGCTCATGATTCCAGCAAATGACTGCTCTTTTTTTTTTTTTTTCCTAGTGCTCCAGGAGAGATTGAACTGTAAAGCTTTGGCTGGGAAGCTAAGAACTCGTTTAGAAACTCCCGAAAGAGGGAAGAGATATATGGCTGCTGTTATAATTAGTAAAGTAGCGCAGCAATATATGAGATGGTTATGATATCTCAGAGAACCCGAAGAAATTGAGCTCCATTTGTCTTGGTGTCTTTTCTGTAGGGGTAGGTCGGCTGATGTGCTTCATATTCAGTGGTAATATCCAGTTGTAGCAGAGCTGATGGAGGCTGGGCTGCTTCCCTGCAGTCCCTGAAAAGGTCCTAGAACACAATATCCTTGAATTCGTTGCCTAATGTGGGCAGGATGAGAAATCCTTCAGATAGCAAGGGTCTACCAAGAGCAACCCATGCCTGGTTAACCTTACTTGTCTCTGTGGTGAGATGAGTTTTCCCAGCCTCCTCCTCTGTAGGCCAAGCAGGTTGGGTTGGATGATGAGCCCCTTAGTGTGGCCCAACCTCACCTGAGAGGTTCTCTGGAAAGGAAATTATAAAATTGTGGAGCCAAATTTGTGTTGGTGCTGGCAGCCGGGAAGTGGCCGATTATTATAAAGACTTCCTGACTAGGCAGGACTGGATCAGGTCACCCAGAGTAATTGTGACATCTCCAGACTTGGGGGATTTCAAGACCCACCCAGAAAGCCACCGCTGACCTGATCTTATGCTGGTGACAGTCCTGCATCAGGCAGGAGATTGTGTTAAGTGTTTTCCAGAGGTCCCTTCCAGTCAATACCTCTACTATGATATGATTCTGTGAAAAGAAGGGAGAAGGAAAAACAAAAACGAAATTTAAAAAAAAAAAGAAAAGGAAAAAATGTGAGATCTGAATCCCAAAGTGCTCAGCTTTGGGCATTCACCAATACTGTTTTGTTTTGAAAGTGGATTCCATACTGAAATCGATCAGATTTTTGGTTCCCATTTTCAAAAAAATGCTAGGATCTGCAGTCAGAAGATACGATGGTTGTCCAGGACTAGGTAGGACAGAAAACTCATCTGAGACATGATGAGATCTGTGAACCCACTGGAGAGAGAAATTTTGGTGCAGTGAACTGAAAACACCAGGAACCAACACTGATAAAATCACAATCTATTCCAAGATCTTCATAAAAAAAGGAACTGTTCCATTCCTAACATTAGAATTATGCAATTATACACACAGACTATATATGCAGGCTATACAAAACTATATAAAAGAACAAGAGCCTTTACATTTAGGTATTGAACTACACTGAGCACCTTCTGACTGCAGCACAGACACCAGCCACGTTTGTTGGTTCTACTCATATTATTTCTTGAACAACCCTGGAGGTCAGTCTCTGAGACAGTATCATAGTGTCAGAGGATCTGACATTACTGGCATTAATCCTTTGTGTCAAGTAGGGTATGGTGGCAGAGGAAACAACAGGGGACTAGGTAGAGTAGATGGAAGAAAAGGAGAATTCACACACCAATTTTTCTTATCTTGTTGCTGTAGTGCCTGGTCATGGATGAAGCACACAATTAAAGTGCTTTACAAACGCCTGACAAAAATGGCTTCTGTCCAAACCAGCTTACATTAAATTTCCCAAAATAGAAAAACAAACCCAAACAAAACCCACTCTTCTTTTCAAAATTAATGCAGTTACCCTTGTCTCCCTAAGCCTGGATGAATCCCGGATGACTTCAGAGTGGCACAGAAATAGCAGAAATAACAGTCTTCAAAAGGAAAATCACATCTTTAATGGAATGAGGGCACCCTTTACCTCTCTCCACCCCACAGAGGTACTCTCAGACTCTCCCCTTCAGTTGAGAGGGAACTGGGCATGGGGTGGGTATCTGGGCCCCACGTCCAGTCTACGAGTTAATCTATGTTTGATCCATCATCAGAAATCGACTGGCTGCCTTTTCTCCTTGGACAGTTATACGAGATGTGTCTGCTTCTGCAAGCAAGGCTGAACCACGCTCAACGAGCAGTAGATGGTGCTTGAGTAAGGTGCATGGGATATGAAAATCCTGGGACTGAAGCGGTTCCCAGTAGAGCCAAAGTGCATGTAAGGATGGCTTGAAAGAAAATGTGCATGGGAAGAATGGTTTTGTCAAACGTAGCTTGTTTTCTAACACGGAACAAGGCTTCTGGTGCCCCTGTAAAACACATACAACCTCCTGCCTGTGGGACACCCAGGCTCATAGTCATCCTCTCAAACTTCATTAAAGCCAGTGCTGTTAAATCAGAGTTGGCTACTAGGGGCTAATAAACAAACCAAACCAAAATAAACCCAAAACAAGTTTCTAAGGAGAAATACAGTCTATTTCCCACACTTTATGGTAAAAAAAATGTGGGCTGTAAACTCCTTGGGGGAAGATTTATATCTTCCTATGTGTTTTTATAATGCTAAACTAACATTCCCAGAGGCAATTAGGGCTGTAGCACAAATAATAAATACTAACAATTACCACCAAAGAATAGATGATAAACGACAGGTATATTTTTTTAAAAAAATTCTGCATTCAGAATGAAATGTTCTTTTCATTGCAAAGATACTGTTACGGAACACTGTATAGTTATTGTGTTATTAGATTAACTTTTATAGTTAAATTGGGTGCCACAAATCCTTAAATTATTTAAAATAGAATATGTTTTCTTAGTTTTTCTTGATCTCAGTTTATCTTGTTATTCTCCCATAAAATTATGGAGAAACAGCTAGCATTTTCATTTTTTTTAGAGGGTTTTACATTTTTAAATATATATTAAGATAAAGCCTTGAACTTTTCATTAGAAATATGAAAAAATTTAAAATTCTGCTGGTGGATTTATGTTTATGGAAATGAAATAATTTAAATCATTTATGGAAAATGTTTAAAATGCTTTAATGGTGGGAGAAATTGTGCCAACAGTTGCCTCAGTGTAAGTTTGGAGTAGCTGTATCAACAGACTGCCAGATAAAACAAATTTAACACAAACAGAGTTTAGATTATGCTTATTTCTGTTCACACTGGATCGATCTTGACTCTAGTTACTTTGGGAGAGCCCTTTTAAAGACATAAAATCATCAAGTGCTATGATGTAACTATTTGGATAATTACAGTATCATGTCCTTCTTCCAGGATCGATTTTCTTTATATATTTAGATAAATAAATTTCAATGGACAATGTCTATGAATACCTCCAAACTGTTTTCTCACTCCACAATGGCAGACTGTGCTTGTACAATATCTTTTTGCAGAAATATGTCTGAGAGCCTGAGATGTAAGGTCAGAGTATAGGATATTTCTGTATTGCAGGTGGGGCTTATTCACCCATGCAGTGAAGTTTTGTCGATCAGACATTCTCAGGAATATATTTTCTTTCTATACAGGGCAGGTTGTGCACAGTCAGAGATAATATTTTTGAAAATTGTAATTTGATAGAGTATATAACCTTGATAGAGTATTGTAACCTTCCTGATCATTTTGTGATGTAAAGGATGAAGGATGCTGAACACAAACAGTGTGTGCAAACCACCTTTGTGCTTGGGGGATAACGAACCCAGAAGTTTGGAAAAAATCTTCTGTGCAGCCATCTTTATGTGAATATATATCGGGAACAAATCCAGCCTCTAGAAATGAGGACTAAAGCTGAAGTTAAGTCTGTCAGACCTCCATTTCTCAGGATTTTCCTAGTTCCCAGGCAGAGATGATGCCGGGTGGGAGCAGAGCATCTTGCAGGCGGTCCATGCACAGGCAGCGAAGCCAGCGATGACTCTGCCTCTGCACAGCGCACACCGCGTCTCACACCCAGCTCAGCTCTCCGGCCGGTTGTAGAACAGCTATATGAGCTTGGACAAAGCACTTTAATTTTGTCTCCTCGCATTCTTATCACTTCAACAATTCACTTTCTGCCACTTAGAAGAAATTACTTATTTCTCCAGCGAGTTCTGGCTGTGGCATGGACTTTCCAACACAAATAAGAAATAATATTCTGTCATTTTTCAGCTGTAATACTCTGCCATTAAAAAAAACCAAAAACAACCAACAAACAACTAAGGAAGTTGGTTCAAAGTTGGAAAAGGCTGTGGTAAGGAGGAAAGACATCTTCCACTTCAGAAAAATTTGTGCTGCTGTGGCTACACTGCTCTCAACGGATGCGAGGCGGTGAGAGCAGGACAGATACGGCCTTACTGAGGTAGGGATCCCTGAGCACGTGAGTGGGTTTTGAGGGAAAAATCCCCCTTTGCAGTAAAAATACAGTTTGAAGTGGTGCAGGGAGATGGAAAGCACCAGGGCAGGCACTTTCCTGGGCTTTGGCATGCCCATCCATTTGCTCACTTGCTATTTCTCTTGAAAAAAGTTTAATTAGGTTCAGATACACTTTTTTTTTTTTCCCCCCCCCTCTCTCTGACCATTAATTTTTCCCAAGCAAGGAGAAAGCCACTTCTCTGAATACAAATTTGGCCACTGTGAGAGCCAAGTCTGATGAGTTTCTTACACATGGAAACAAGGAAAGCGAAGCCTTGTGAGCTCTGGGTGAAGACTCTGGGTGAGTGTGTCACGCAGACCTGCCCAGTATATTTTGACCATTTCCCTCTCATTTCTGTTTAGTCTTATTAATTCTAAAACCCCTCATCTTCCTTTGTCTTTTAAATGATATTTGTACCATTTTATCCTCACTGTTCATTTTTTTTCCCTTCCATAAAAAAAAATAAAATATTAATGTGGCATAAGAAATCTGCCTGTGCTGGTAGTCTCTTGAAACCGTTGATGAATCCATGAATAAAATATAAATCTTTATTTTGCTTGTGGTATATCAGATTTCACATGTTTATTATATCTCTTGTGAAGTGAGCTTGTCCAACAGAGTTTTTGTTTGTTTGTTTGCCTCCTTTTATTTTCAGTAGCCCTTGATTTATCAACCTTTGGAAAAAACTAATGTCTGCTGTAGTCTTACATGAAACATGAAACTTTCATTTGGATTATTTGGATCAATTTTCTACTCTCTCATCTGAAAAAGGAAGAAGGGAAAAGAAAAGAGAGAAACCTTTCTTATCCCAGCAAAAGTGTATTTTTTTTTTCCATCCTTTTGCTGTTGAGCTTCATCTTCCAGTATTACCTTGGCCTAAGAAAACAGTCTTTTGAATGTAATGAGTTATGTTCACTATAAAAAAAAACCCCAAAATCCCCAAACCTGGAGTATTGCAAAAATAATGCTATTTTCTTTGGAAAATATATCTTTCTTTAGCAATCTTAATCAACATTTTTATTCCAATTATACCTAATTTGAAAGATTAACTGTGGTTTGTTTTTTGTTTGTTTTTTTTTTTAAACTGTAATTATGCCTTAGTCTTTTTGTGCAAGAGTGATGGCAATATAAATCTGAAGTATTTTTTCTGGAGATGTCTCCACTGCCTACGGTTCTGCTGGTTTACTGACAAAGGATCTGCTCATTTGGGTGCCATATTCTTGAGATAATCTTATCAGAGATGGATTTTTTATAACATCAATTTTCTAACAATCCATTTAACCGAGGCAAAAGACAGTTTTGAGTTAAATCTGCGAAACAGAGACAAAGAATGCATGATGAACAGCTGTCACTTCAAGGGATGATAACAAACATAGCTGCTGGCATAAACTAAGAAATCACTGCCTATTTAGGCTCTTCTGGCTGTCCCCACGGGGCATACAGTATTTAGAATATAGATTTTCCTGTTCCAGAAATGCAGGTGAAAATCCTGATAAACTGAACATAATGAGTTTGTTTTGGAGAATAAAAGTTTACTCATTTAATGAAAAGCAGATTATGCATTTAGCACAACTCATGTAGAAAAGAATAAGAAAAACGCCTGGGAAGCCTTAAAAAGTTAATATAGAAATTAAAACATTCATATGCAACAGTAATACATGAAACATTCTGAAATTCATTCTGAAAGAGGTATTTCCAAGTTTGGTAAGTGTATGTAGTATTATGATAGCTTTATAATTGTTCTTTAGGCATATTTCTTATTAAATATTTCTTAGGTAAACTGTGCCTCATGCTTAATATGACAGTAAGTCCTAAAGATCAGCAATAGCCATCCCAAGAGGAGACAAACAAAAAGGAAGCTGAAATCCATGCAGAGTTTTGGCTTAAGCTAGAAGGGTGAGGAAAAGCTGACTATCAGGTAACGTCCCCTGGGAAAAGTCCTCTAAACTCACAAGTCTGTGCAGAGAAAATACAGTGTTTGGCTGTACGTTCTGTAGTACGTTAACATTTATCACAAAAGATTAATGACACAGTGGACAAACACCACTGTGTGATGATGGTGCAGTACAAAGGATTTTATTTCATTCTTCTTTCTTTCAAACAAAGTTCACCTGCACATCCAAACCAGCATTTTTCCTTCATATATTCGAGTAACTCACTTCAGTTCCTTAAAATATAAATCCAGTGATTAATAATTAGGAAAAAAAAATAGTCACTGCTAATTTTCCAAGAGTGTTTCCTGTTTTAGGTGTGTAGTCAGTACCGTGAAGTGTGGCCCATGTGGGTCTGGGCTACTTTGTCCCTCTCACAGATCTTGAGCATTAGAAGTTGCAATTCAGCAAACTATTTAAGAGCTCTCAAAAATAAAGGGATTTTTCTCCGCAGATTGGTAGCATCACCTGCCTTTTCTGTGAAAGAAGCAGGTATGGATAATTACTGGGTAATTTCAAGTGCATTTTCAGATCCTTGAGACAGGGCGCACAGCTGGGGAAGGAGCATCTCCCACCACCTCTCCACTTCGTGACTCTGCTGCCCACCTTCTTCTAGCATTTCTAACTGGCTGGATTCATAAACCACTGATAATAACGTGGAAAATGTCCAATCAAATGAAAAAATGAAACTACGAGGAGTCTATGTGGAATGAAGATTAGTTGCTACGATGGCCTGAATTGTGGCGCCAAGGGATTTTCATTGAATGAATGTGACAAATGGCAAATGGAGATGCAAATCAAGATCTACCCACAGACACATCAAAAGCAAACAAGAAAAGGGCTGTTTTGAAGCGACGAGGTAAGCCATGCTGCTCATGACAGAAAACAAAAGATGATGATCGGACTTCTGTTGCCTAAAAAATGAGGTGAATTTGCTGAGCTGTGAGAAAATACCTTGCATCCTCTTTTCAAGGAGGAATCATAGGTTTCCACCTTTTTTTTTTTTTTTAATTTTTTTTTTTATTTTTAGTAGAGTGCTCCCTAGAGGAACGATAGTCATTGCCTCTTGGGGAACTCGGAGAAAACAGACTACTGTATTGATCACAACCCCTTACTGCAAAGTTATAATTAAAAATCAGTATTAAAACTGGTTACAGTATAACCTGGCACTCTGTAGCTGGCTGTGTACAATAAAAATCACATCAAGTTCTCCTCATCAGAAAAGCCATCGCCAATCCAATTTCAAAGTTCTGCAGTGGTAATTGAAGGCTGCAGGAGGCTGTTGAGCAAAATTTAAGATTAGGATTTAGCTGCAAACATGGCAGCATGCAGCTACACCTCAGCCCCATCATGTGCAAATTCTGGGTAGGCAGCACTGCAGAACACAGCTTAATATTATGATGAGCTGCAAAGTCTGTCACTCTGCATACTCAAGCATTAAGAGCATTTAAAGGATATGCCAGGCAGTGGATACTTTTTTTTTTTTTTTTAATTAGCAATTAGTTTTAAAAGAAGGTATTAATGTTTTGTAGTTGCTAACTTCTGTACTCTGACAGCTCAGTTGTTTGGGGTTTTTTTGGCTAGGAAGAAGAATGATAACACTGCCAGATGATCAGTCTCGGAGACTGGAAGATAATTCTCCGAGTACATAAACAGTATGAATATATATGCCATAAATATATTTATAAATATGGTCAGGATAGTATATGTTTAAACAGGAAAGGTCAGGACTAAGCCCTCAAGAATCTCATTTCAGAGAAACTAAAGCCTGCACTTCTATAACTGTTTACACCCGCTCACTCACATTTCACAGTGGAAATTGCCTCTATTTTTTTTTTTTTTCTTGGAACTGGAGCTGGGTAATTTTTAAAATATAAGTTATCTGTATGGAGTTCTCAGACCTTTGAATATCACTGCGCAAGGATGTTGTACAGCATCTCAGTCCTTGTGCAGTCTTGTCCTCAACCCCAGCACTATCCCAGAACCTTGAATTTGTCAACTTTTGTGCATTTAAAAAAAAATAAGCAAGTAACGCTGTGATCTTATCTAGCTACTGATTTGTGGTAGCCGCTGATCTTATATGCTTTGGTGGTAAATGGATGATACGAGTTGTAAATTACTAAGACAAAGAAAAGGGTAGCCTGTGAGATTACTAATCAATTTTCTAAAGAATTATCTAGCAGAAAGGGCAGTTTTAAATCGTTCCATATTTCTTTTTATTTTAAACAAAACCATCTAAGGAGACCTGCTGGCATCTGTCTACGTTGACTTTCATGTACTTTATCAGTCTTTTAACATTGCTTCTATTGCTCATCAGTGACTCTGAATGTCCCTGTAAAGTTTTCCAAGGAAAATAAAGATGCTTACTGTAGAAATTACTTCCCTCATTTCGAGACCCATTACATTTATTAATCTAATGCTGAATCTCTTTGTATTACTGCTTATGAAAGAGTGAATGGCAATTTAGGTTCTCCTGTGCTAAGTGCCCTCCTTCTTAATGGGACATACACTGACACTCGATCTCATGGACTGAATGAAAGAGAAAAAACACGTGGAGGAAAAATTATCACAAGCCTCTTTCACAGACACAGAGCTGACATGCGGGAAGACTTGTTCAAGTTCATGTAAAATAGGCTGTGACATGGTCAGGTCCTAAACTTTGGTGTTGGGCTCTTCATCTCAACGCCAGGTACACACACGTCTGTCCTCAGGCTCACATTTTCAAAGAAATAAAGGTAAATCTTTTGGGAGAAGTTAGAATGAATCAAGGAGAGAAAACAATAATGTTAAACTCTAAATTTGGAAGTTACTGTCATTAGGAGTAACGTCACAAACATTGCTGTATATCACT